CTGCACCTAGGGAGCACAGGAGTGAGCAGCACCTGCTGCAGCACTAAGGGCATGGCATCTACACCCACATGGTAGGAGTTCAAATCCCTGGACTTACTGCGTGACCATGGGCAAATTACTTAACCTCACAGTGTCTCAATTCTGTCCTTTGAAAACTGAGGACTTGGTGAGTGAATACCAGTAAAGTGGTTAGAGAGGGCCTGCACCTAGGGAGCACAGGAGTGAGCAGCACCTGCTGACAGCACCCTGTGACTAGTACTACCCTGCTCCCCCCGCTGACTTGGGCTGGGAAGGTTCCACGTGGCTGGTCCACAGGACTGTCCTTGAGGCCTGCTCCGTCCCATTAACTGTGTGACCTTGGGTGAATGAACGCCCCTTTCTGAGCCTCAGTTTCCTAATGTGTAAAGCAGATGGATTCTGAGCACCACCTCACTGGGGGGCTGTGAGGTTCAAGTGCACTTGTGGGGGGGTGGCTCTGGTGTCACTGTCCTTCTTGTAGCCCTCAAGAGCTGGATGTGGGGTTTCCTCCTCTGTCTCTATTCTGGAGCTCTGCCCTTCCCCAGCCCTTCAGGTGTCAGCAATGACTTTTTAGGTGGTGTTGCCTGGCAGGAGCTAGGTGCTGCCTGGGGGGACAGGACTCTGGCCAACAGGAACTAAGCTAGGAGGCTGGAGACAGGGTCCCGCATGGCCACTGGGGCCCCTGAACCTTGAGAGGTCTCTCTGGGCCTGTGCCAGAGTGACTGGTCCTGGTAAAGGGGACCTGGGGAGAGAGGCCACTGCTCACCCAGCCTGATCAGGGTGGTGGGGACATGTCAGCACTGTGGTCCCCCCACCGAGGGGACCCAGCGTCACCCAGGCTTCACCCTTGGGAATTCTAGCCCTGGGCAGCCTCTGCTCCCACCCACAGCACCACCCGTGTTCCCTCAGGGCCTGTGCTTCAAATTCAGGCTCTGTCCCCTACTAGCTGGGGCAGCTTCACCTTGCTGAGCCTCAGTTTCTCCATCTGCGAAAATGGAGACGAATAACACCAGCTTCCTGGCGCGGCAGAGAGGGTGTAATATGTTTGACCTAGTTCCGGGCACACAGGTCTCAAGAGCGTCCCCATGGCACCCCCAATAGAATTTACTTGGGGTATTTCTGTGGGCCTCTCTCAGGGGACCTCAGCCCCCATCTCTGGTTTCTCCCCATGTCAGTGAGTCTTGCAGTTTCCAAGAAACTGTTCAGGGCACTTCTTTACACTCATGAACTTTCAGTGACTCCCTACTACCAACCTTCACTCGTTCATTCAGTGATTTAATGGGATACTAACTGGGAAGCCAGAGTTTACTGTCAATGAGTAAGCATGAAAGTATTCATTGGAGTGAATGCCTACAAGCTGCCCCGTCTCTGAGAAATATTTTGGAAACTGAGGCTGAAACTCATACTGCCAGCCATTGCCTGAGGGTATCTTATCCACCTGTACTGATGCCATGCGCTTGGAATGCCACTGTCACCAGATCCATCCTTTTGGGTCAAGCTCTGTTCAGTGTAGACCCTTCATTTAGGAGTCCAGCCCTTCAGGAGGTGGAGGAGCCCTCAGTGCCAGGCAGGGCTGTGGATGGTTCCTATGGCTGGGTAAGTCAGTGAGGGGATGAGAACTCCTTTGGCATCTCTTTCCTGGGGAGGTTGCTGTGGGGTGTGGTGTCCCACACTGCCTGACTCAAGCCTGCCACAGGCCACTGGGGATCATCTGGAGCGTGACTCACCCTCGCGGGACCAGCCTTGCTTGATGGGTGCCGGGCAGGGGTGCAGCCACGTCAGGGTGGCCCTTGGCAGCGGCGGAAGCCAGGCTTGCTCGCCCAGCCCTGGGCTGCCTGGATCCTGGGAACTAAAGGGCACTTCCTCTCTTGGCCCTGGGGGTGGCCTCAGCAGGCTTTCCAGGGTGCCAGGTGCTGGCTTTGTCCTCAGCAGACCTGCTGTCCGTCTTGAGAGCTGTGAGTTTGGGCAGAGCCAGGCTGGAGCCAGTTAGGTTCCGTGCAGGTGCCAGCTCTGCCATGGGCCAGCTGTGTGACCTCTGTGTCCATCCAGGTCTTCCGTGGGAATTCCAGGGTGGTGAGGCTGTGTCCTCAGGCTGGAGAGAAGGTTCTACGCAGGCCTGGCACATCATGGGCCCAGTGAGTGGCAGTTACTGTCATCAGTAATAGCAGTAGCTCGGTAGCCTCTTGGCTGTAAGGCTGTCTCCCTAAAGGCACACAGAGGAGTCATAGTCGTGGGCACCCCGTATGTCCAAAAGTCTGAGCCCTCTGTGGACAACCTCATGGCTGAAGGTTCACAGAAAGTGTGGGGAGAGACCCTGTCCACACCTCTGATCTCTGGAAGGAGGGTCAGCTTGGCAGGCTCAGGAAGCCTTTCCGCTTCCTCCTCCTCCCCCATGACATCTGTCCCCCTTCGCCTTAGTGATGATGTTTCACCTAAGATTCCAAATCTCCCGGCTTGGGGCTCACTCTGACCTCAGACTCTTTCTCTTCCAGGAGGAGTGATGGGCAGAACCGGCGCATCTCTCAGGCACTAGACCTGTCACGAGTGGGCTCCGTTCCCTCCCACACTGCTTCGCCCTGCCCTAAGGTAAGTGGCCTCCATACCAGCCCCTCTCTCAGGCTGGGATGTGCTGGGAGGTCCTGCCGGGGGTCAGGCTGTACCCCTGGGCCCAGGGTGGTCTGTGCAGTGTCAGAGGTGGGGCCCAGGAAAGGGGTAGGGCTTTGCTAGGAAAACAGCTTCTCGTGGACTGGTCAGGCTACCCTCCATCATCGTCTTCTTCAGTGTCACCATCAGTGTCCTCTTCTGTGTATCAGGTGTGATGGCAGGAGCTGCTTCAAGGCCATTGTGAAGACTGAATGCAAAAGTGCCAGCCAGACACACTGTCCGGCCCTGAGGTTGTTCCCATCATTGGCCTCGAAGTCCAGGCTTTTGTGCTGGACCTTTGACTGCCCTCAAGGATCCCCAGCCTGGCAAATCGCTAAACCAACTTACACAGAATGTCACCTGCCAGTAGTAGCCACTCGGATTGCCTCGGCTTTACTGCCTGCCAGCTAAGGACTCAGTGTTTTGTGAGAGGTAACAAATCTCATACTGGAGCTCTGAATGCTGAAATAGGCACTATTATTAGTCCCATTTTTCAGATGAGACAAGGCTTGGAGAGGTTCAGTTACTCACCCAAAGTCCTATAAGTTGGATATGGTCAGAGTGCCCAGCTTAAAGCCAGGCTTGGCAGCACACACCTATAATCCCAACACTCAGGAGGCTGAGGCAGGAGGATTGCCATGAGTTCAAAGCTAGCCTGGGCCACACATGAGTTCAAGGCCAGCCTGAACTGCATAGCAAGACCCTATCTCAAACAACCACAAAATAAATGAATACCAGAGTGCCTGGCTGGTGCCTCTGTAGCACAGAGATAATAAGCACTCATCTCTGGGGTGTGTTCTGCAGTTTTTAAAACACATCAATAAACATCATGCCTCTTGGTCCTTTCATCGACCCTTGTGTGGTAGGCATTCTCCAGATGAGGATGCACATGCTCAGGGATGTAAAGGGGTCTATCCCAGGTCACGCAGCCAGGAAACAATAAAAACAGGATCTTCTCGGCTCCTCCTGTACGGCTCTAGCCTGGAGCAAGGGCCAGGGACCTTTTCTGGACCAGGAGAGAGGACCAGGTAGCAACAGAATGAAGCTCTTGAGACCCTTTTTGACTTTTTCTGCTTCAGCAACACTGCGAGCCTGGGCCGTGTGGGTCTTGGGGCCTGGAAGGAAGGGTGACTTGATGGCAGCAGCTCACCAGAAAAGCTGAGGTCATGAATGAGGTACCCAGTCTTCTCTGCATGAGCATTCAGAGATAGTGTTCCCCTCCCCAGGCCTCAGTATTCCTGTCTGGGAAGAGGCTTTGCAGTCCTTGCCCTGGGTCCTGACTGCTCAGGCAGCCTGGGGGTGATCTTCCTGGATTAATGTTGAGTTGCCTCCCCCTCCAGGCTTCCTGGCTTCTCCCCAGTCTAGCAGCCTCCATTTGGCCATCACAGCCCAACGGGCTCCAGTCGTGTGTCCCTTCCCTCCCCACCGACAGCCCACCCTTCTCCAGAATCACGACCCAGGCGGAGGATCATTCTCCTTCGACAGGGAAGCAAACCAGACCTTATATTTTACAGATGGGGAAACTGAGATCCAGAGAGAGGGCAGAGACTCACTTGTACCAATCAGCAGGTTGTAGCAAGGCCACAGCTAGAACACACATGTCCAGAGAGATGGAACGATTCATCTGGGGTCCCTAGCGAGTTAGCAGTGGGCTGAGGGAACCCAGGCTGGGATACATTTTCCATCTCTCTCCTGGGACCTCCGAATCTGCACATTTATAATCTTGATGGAACCAGTCTGAGGGACAAATGACCTTCCTGTGCCAGGAGGCAGATCACTGGCCTTTCCTGTCCTGTTTCCTCATCTGTAGCACAAAGCTTAGAGTTCCTCTCCTATACACCTTGTTAGCTTGCAAATGGGCAATGCCTGTAAAAATACTTTGGAAGGCAGAAGGTAGAAAGCTGACCTGTTATAAGCACCATGGCATTCCCAGGGCTGGATAGAACACCCAGAGGGGCACACCCTTCTCTTTGGGTAGTCACCTTGGAACAGTGAGCTATCCACCGCCCCTCCCCTCTACAAGCTTCCCCACTCAGGAATTCAGAAATCTGTACACATGTATATGCCCCACCTACCCACTTCTAGTACGGGACATAGTCACAGACACAAAACACATGTTTGTGTATGCACATGTGCAAGATATATACATGTAAAAGATAAAAATGTAAGCTGGGTGTGGTGGCGCATACCTGTAACCTCAGCACTCGAGTGGCTGAGGCAGGAGGATCGCTATGAGTTTGAGGCCAGCCTGGGCTACATAATGAGTACCAGTCCACGCTGAACTACATAGCGAGACCCAGTCTCAAAAAACAAAACAGAACCCACAAAAATGCACCTACCCAGGCAACCCCTGCACAGAGAATCACAGTAGCTGTAGAAGCACATGGCCACATCCTGCATCCTGAAGGTCTCGCCTCCTCTGGGGCTAGTGTGGGAATGATGTTCCTCTCGCTGCATTTCGATGAGTGCCCGGAAGTGTGCAGGCCCGGAAGTGGTTCTGTAAATCAATATTTGCCGCTGTTAATTATTAAAAACAAAGCTGCTACTCTGTGCCTGGAACGCATATCTCCAGAGTTCCCACCGGCTCTCCAGACTAAAACCTGACCCAGGGCCAGGTGTGGAGAGAGAGGGGGAAGGAAAGCCCAGTGCCTTTCTTCCAGAAGCCCGGGGCCCTAGGGATGCAAGATGAAGAACAGCTGCCAGAAGCTCTTCTGGGAAGATGCAGAGAGGTCTGGGGCTGAGCTGTGAGGTGGCCATGCCCTAGCAGTATGTGAAGTAGCAGGCGTTGACTTGGCCACAGCTCAGGAGGCATTGCCATTTCCCAACATGTCTGGATGAGGGGGCGGCTGAACCCCGCCAGGACACACCAGGGTCAGGTCTTATATTTTACAGATGGGGAAACAGATCCAGAGAGAGGGCAGAGACTTGTACCAATCAGCAGGTTGTAGCAAGGCCGGAGCTAGAACACACATGTCCTGAAATCTGCTTGAGCCTCTTCCTCCCTACCATGGGGTCCTGGCAGCCTTCACCACCTCATCCCCCAGGCACTCTCCCCTGGGGCTGGTGGCAGTTAGGGCTTGGGGAATGCAGGGTACAGGCAAGCTCCTGTCAGGCCCTGGAATGGGGAAGAGGAGGAAGGAGAGAAGAGCCCCGGAAGTGTAGCTCCAGGCTCTTTCCTGCATTCCCGTTTTCCTAGCTGTCTAGGGCAAGCTGTTTCACCTCTTGGAAATCAGTCTTCTCATCTGTATAGTGGAGATAACATCTGTTCTTCTTGGGTTATGACAACATGATGAGACTTGAGAATGGCCCAGCATTAAGTGTTCAAGAAAAGTCCTGTCTCCAAGTTCTCCCCTCCTCTTCCTGGCCGGCCCCACAGCCTATTCCAAAAGCCTCATCCTTGAGGGCCCGAGGCAGGGCACCCAGAATCTAGGACACACAAGGCGAGGTACTCCGGGGAGCCCGACGTGTTTAAAGCTCCCAGTACCTCGGCTTTGACTACGCAGGCGCAGTATCGAGGCCCGCAGCGGGC